AGAGATAGCCATAAACCCAATGCCTTTAAAATACACGCAGAACTCTTCAAAACACCAGAGAAAAATAAATCTCACACCAAAGAAGTCTAAACACAAAATCAAAATAAATTAAATAAGCTGATCGTATAGTCACAACAGTTAAAATTGATTTTTTTCTACTACCGCAATATGGTTACCCAGGTTCGATTGAATAACCATATTCCGTAAGGATCACATCGGTGACCTACAGTAGACCACAATTAAATCTCAAAAGAAACATACAATAATTAAATCAATAAACACATTTATTAAATATTCCAAATAATTTAATTTAAAATAGCAGGCCAGACTACCCCTACAAAATCGTTTTTAAAAGTTACTCATAGTTTTTTTTTTTTTTTTCATATCCATCTCATTTTTAACGTTATTCAATTCATACAAAAATCATAGTGAAACACCTCATATTAATTAATCTTTTAAGCATGTACTCAAGAATTTAATTTCATGACAATTAAACATAAAACAACATAACTAACACCTTCTCAACTATTAATTACTCATAACACTTTCTCAGCTATTAATTGATTGATTAAAATAGTCGAATTTTAATTTACATAAAAATGTCAGCGAAAGCTTTAGAATTTAACGGGTTTTTACTTTTTTATTTTCTATTTTTGCAAATATTAATATGATTTGAAGGTGTAAAAAAATCTGTCAGCGTTGGGTTTGATCTTAACAGTTCTCTAATTTTTTAGGAACGAAAATATTTTTTGAGAATGTGCACTTTCTTGTGAGGTCTTCATTTCGTTTTGATAAAATTCGATTCAGTGTTAGCTGAAGTAGAATTTTACTAGTAATCAATGTAATATATTCAATTACGTCATCATCTAATTAATCTATCATACAAATATTTCATATAAACTATTAAATATTAAAGATTAATCAGAAATATGTAATACCTCTATTGTCAACGATATAAGTGAGTTTGATGGTATGATTCAAATTAAGTCTTCAGAATTGTGTGCTATTCTGAATTAAATGCTAGATAAAATTTGTTTTTATTCTCATGCTTTAGTATCCAATACTTTATTTCACTTAATAAGAATCTATCATATTCTTAAATTAAATATTTATTCTAAACTATACGAATTACATCACTAAGCGAGACGAACGATTCGAAAACTAATATTTCTATATACTACAACTTCTAATTTTAAATAACGAACTAAATATTAATTTAATATTGAAGTTTGCATATGTTTTGGGGCATGAATTATACTGCTATTTTTCTGCATGAGAACAATAAAATAATTTTTAAAAAAAACTTCCACAATAAATAGTACAAAATATACTAGTCAAAATGTCTAATACTTTCAGTTTGAACTGCAAGTTACTTTTCAGTTTATTTTAACAAAATAAGTTTCACTAATTTATTTTGATGAAATAAATCATATTTTAATTATTTGCATTAAATAAATTCATGCTTGAAATATTCTACTTCGGAATTTAATCATGAAATAATGAAGCATTTCGTCTAGATGCCAATAAATAATATTTCTAATAATTTGCAAGTAATATGATTTTCAAGAATTACTTGTAAATTTAGAGCGCGTAATTTAAAATAAAACATCTATAAAACATGGACTGTATAAAATATAATTACTAAACAACTTTATATTTAATAATTGGAAATACTGTTTTGTGAATGAGCTTAATCAATAGTCATTTAGGCAACATTTTTTAATTAAATATATTATTTAGTCTGAAAACAAAAATTTTCTTTCCTTCCTATCTTAAACAATTATTTACGGGAATTTTTAGTATAGTCCAGTTTAAATACTGAAAATATTCTCGGCTTCTAGCATATTTAAAGAGTAAATTTTATTAACTATTTTAAGTTGTCATATTGCCATTAAATAATTTCCGAGTTTAAAGAGCAGAATAGAATGCAACCCTTGTAATGTCAGTTCAATAAAATTTCTTCATCAGGATATGTATTAGTTTAAATTTTTCCGCAAGCATTTCTTTTTTCCTCTTCGAATTAATATTATGACGTAATGCAGTAAGTTGAACATTGTGATCGATAACACGATTGCTTAACTTGGTGGCTCCATCTATTGACATTAATTTGTACTTTTTATATGAATAATTTTAATGATGTATTAATTTAACTGCAGATTCATGATGACAATTAATTTATTCACCTCAGTACCACTAAGAAATAAATCGCATTAAAGCTAAATTTTACTATAGCATAAAATTTCTCTGAATGTTGACATTCCGGTAATTTATAATGAATGGATCTGAATAACAAATGTAAGTTTTCTTTTAATAACATATAAAATACCAGTGCGCAGATGTACGCAAAAACTACCTACATAAAAAGAAAAAAATACATATAAATTAATGCATATTAATTTAAATTCGCGTACATTATTTTAATGTCATATTTTTAAAGGATATAATTTTAAGATCATTTTAGGACATGTCAGATTAATTTATAAATTTCTATGCAGCAATTTTAATATTATACTTCCTTAGTGATATCTATGAATATGGTTCATGCACTTAAATAATTTTTATGCAACTAATTTTGTTATTTTGACAAAGTTGTGAATAAGTAATCATATTTTATTCGAGGAAAGTAAATAAATATGTAATAATAGGCAGGTAATATTTTCTTTCGCGTTTAAAATTTGAAATAAGTTCGTAATAAGATTTTTGTGACTCCTAGCAATCATTTAGTTTCTTGATTTCATTTAAGAAAATATGCGTATGCTTGAATTTATTTGAAATCGATTGTTATTAATTTCAATTGATTTTCCTGTAACCTGACAAGTAACATCCTCCAATTATAATCCTTTTTATAATACATACATGAAAATCCTGTATAAAGCATTTTCGTGTTACAATAAAAAATATTGTTATATAAATAATTCACATTAAATAAAATTTCAAAACTTACTTCTTTTTGGAGAACGTTATATAATTCTGCCAAAGATTTACACTTGATCATTCTGCTGATACCAAGAAAGTTTTTTTAAAAAATGTAAAGAATATTTAAAATTTATTTGTATGTATACATAACAGAATGCTTTTGCAAAATCGAATATTATATTATAGGTAAAACGATGAAGTTTTTAAAAGCAATTAATGAAACAAAAGAGAATACAATTGTTCACATACATATTTTTATTATGCAAATACATTATACGAAATCCCTACATAAAAACGAATTTCTAAATTGGCTAGGAATCGACTTTAGAGTAGAGAATTCGAAGATTTGCTGAGTTTTGATCAAAATAAATGAGTGCAGTAAATGAATTGTCACAGGTCATAACTTACACATCATGGGGCTGGTACAGGGCGTGAGGACATCATCTCGGTACGGGGCGTCTGTTATGTCTTCGAAATTCATGATGAACATGCTGATCTCCCCCTCTTCATTCCTTATAGGCGCCGTCACCTGGCTGCACAGAAATTTGGTCCCTGTTGGCAGAAAGACAATAAAAAAGTGAAACGCTGTTCTATTTAGAATGTGTAAATTTTATGAACTTGACAAATAACTAAATTTCGTCATTTGGAAATATTAAATGAGTTCCTCTATTCGAAGCTAAATGCTTTAATGCATGTTTTAGTTATTGAACCAGCGGGAACAGAGATTGGAACCCCAGTAATTCCCTAATAATGTAAAAATGTTAACTGTAAATCCGTTTATTTTATTATGCGTTTTATTTTTTTTAATAAATACGTTTTAGCAATATCTGAAGTATAATCCGATAACAAAAAATATATGATTATTGTTTGGATATTTTAATATCTACGTCTGAAATAATAAAGGGGATTGCTTACCATAAAGGTTTTAACACAATTTATTTCTGTACTACCAACCGCCATCCTCATACGTATATATTTTCATACTTTATTCTCCCTTAGGGACACTTTCAGGACTAAAAAAATATGAACAATTTCAGCAAAAATTACTCTGCTGAACTTATTACTTTGCTTAAAAACTCACAATGTTCTCATTAAGATAGCAGTTAAGAATTAAACCTTAAAATTTTAAAACATAAATAGTTTACTGAGAAGTACAGTCAGAATATTATCCCGGTGTTGTTTTCTTTGTAAGTGAGGCAAAGATAATTTTAAACAATTGTGATCAAAATCTTTAAATAACCCTTGTTTATATGTCCAGGAAGTATTTCCAAACATGTGCTGATAATACTGTGTTGCCAAAACATATATGTATCTTCAATCAAGTTTTGGATGTACCAAATTTGGTCATGCGCGAATAAATGCACTAAGAAACATGTGAAGACTTTGCAAACAATGACGCACTGTTTAGTATTTCATAGTTTTCGCTGATAACAATGAAAGAATTTTACAAAGAAATGCACTACATCATTTTATAGCACTTAAAAGTTTTGAAAGTCTAAAAATTACTTGCTAAAGATTTTACATTCAGGAGCACCCAGACAATGAGTAATAAAAATGGCAGCTATAGAATCTTTCTCTCCAAACACGTACTACATAAGTACTTTACGCTTTGCATAAAGAATCTCTCAATAACACTGTAAAGCTAAAATTCATATAAATTCATATAAATAATTTGCTAAAATTCATATAAAATAATTTGGGATGCTAATGGAAAGAAAAAGATGTAAATCATAAATTTAAATATATATTTAGATTTATGCTTTTTAGTTCATTCGACGTCTGAATCGTCTACATTGATAAATACATATTTGATAACAGTACTCGAAAATCCTCAGCAAACGAAAATGTGTCTTACCGACAGCTGGGGGGGGATAACAAGCCTGTAAAACGCGCATTTTGGCAATAACAATGTATCGACAGCAAAACAAATACGCAAGTTATTTTCGGCATCGAGCAATATTTTCACCGCACTAGCATTTGTGTCACTTAATTAGATATTAATTAAAAAAATTAAGCCTTCACACTTTCAAATGGAAGAATATAATATCTGAAAATATTTTTTTAAACTGTGAAAATTTTATGAAATCTAAGTACAGAAATTAAAACTGCGAATCTAAGATTCATATTTTTATTTTAAAGTTTAATTGAAAGTTATTTACGAGCTGTTATTGCTTTTAGTATCGATCAAATCGCGTGTAAGATAAATAGAAATTGCTTTGTAGATTATACATATATATTTGTCTTTAAATGTTATAAAATGCTTTGCTCAATATAAGCATTTCAAAAATCATGTTCTATGCACTACTATTCTAACAATATTTTGCAATACCATGATCATTATAGACTGTAGAGTCATTAGGATTTTTGGAAGCAGACAAGATGAAAAATAGCAAACGCCTTCGCCGGGAATCGAACCACGGACTTCTGGAATACCGGTCCAGCGTGCAGAACCACTACGCCACAAAGGACGCTAAGAAGGGGGGGGGAGAAATACTTTATAAGGCAAAATGGATTCTTATAATCTATTATAAAGTCGACTAAAAAATTCTTAATTTTTACCTCAGTCGCATCTAAAATAAAATTAATGATAAAATATTGCAGAATGTCTATGATTCCTTTATTTTTATCTGTCTATGATTCCTCTATTTTTAAATTTTATTCAAATTGTAAATAATCTTTTGATATTTTGACAATTTTCGTTTGATACTATTTAAAATTAACACAAGAGAAACAAAACACATAAAAATTTAAATTCTTTTTGAGTCGAGTTTTGTTTTAAATAAGGTTATATGCTTACTGTAAAAAATATTAAGACAGTCTGCCCTAGGACAGGGATACCTTCGTGGAGGACTTCTGAAAGAAAACTATTTCGTATTCACATTACACTTACAAAATACCTGAAAGCTCATAAGTTGTTGCTATATCTTCTATACATTTAAAAAGCAAAAAAATATGTAATATTTAATATTTTAAATTAGATATATTATGAATTACAAGCATTTTTATTTAACTTAAATCAGTCATATTCAAAAGAAAAAAGTTCTTAAGAACTGCATCTGTTGCCTTTAAATAGCCCCTAAACACAGAGGGGGGTTCTATATGACCGCGCCAATATTTTAGAACTGCGAAACTGTTTATAAGTTGTATAGTTATTCTTCTCCTTTTCAGTACTTTCAAGTTAACATAAAATATAACTATTCCTAAATTTTTATTAAACTGTATCCATTAATATTTTAAAAATAATTTTAAAAATTGGGCCGCGGTCATATGGACCTCATCTCTGCGTTTATGTTATTTTTTTCTCCCATGAGGGGAAGATGGCTTTATTACTACTTGAGTGTCGAACTTGTACAAGAAATTAACTCTAGAGGTTTGACATAATGTCGGTACTATGAAAAAAATAAGAGAGAAATACCAGGTAAATTGTTTCTAAATAAAATGGAAAGTGAAGGATCTTCTCTTTATGCATTCACAGATAGAATGACTCTCGTTTCATATGTGCCTCAAAAATTAAAAAGTGTTATTCTCATTTCTTCAATGCATCATTCGAAATCAGAAGACCTTGAAACTGGGAAACCAGAAATAATAACATTTCACAATTTGACTAAATGAGGTGTAGATGCATTGGATGAAAAATTCTCTAAACATTCTACAAGCCGAAGAACAGGACGATGGCCCAATGGCCATATTCTTTACGTTACTTGATGTAAGTGGAATTAATGCGCATGTAATACCTCAGTCATTAAGAAATAATGCCTGATGGAGTTGTCATCAGAATTAGTGAAACCCCATATAGAATGATTCTTCAAAAGCCCACTGTGAAACGAGAAATAAAAATGTGCATTCAGAGAGTGCTAGGAATTTCCAGAGGAATCAATTCTAGCTCAGATGTAACTGATACCCTTAAAAGGCGTAAAACATGCTCTCTTTGTCTCCCTAGACATAGAAGAAAAACTGCCTATCTATGTTTCAGCTGCAAGAATTCAATATGTAGTGAATGTGCCAAGAGAATTTGCAAAAACTGTGTTGAAAATGCATAAAATAATGTGTTGCAGTTTTTTTTAATTTTCTTTAAATATTATCTTTTTTTCATTATATTATATAAACCAGATTTTGTAGACGGAAAACAATTAAATAGTTTATTTCGTACTTCGTTTGCAAGCAAGCAGTGTTTTTTATTTATTTGATTATGTGTTGCATACTTTTTAATACGTGATTTAAAAATTAATATTTAATGTATTCATTTTAGTGTTTTAAAAAGAATTAATTACCTCAATATAATAAGCAAAGTATATTAATGCTTATATAATAACAATAGTACATTATTTTAAGGTTTTAATTTTTTAAAATGCATAAAATAGAGCTCGATCTGAGAGACCACTCCTCTGTGTTTCCGCAACAGAAAATGAACGTCTGTACTTAAGGGTTAGTTTATTAATTATAAATAGATAGATCAAATAAGAAAGAATAATAGCATACCTTTTTCCAAATGGCAACAGACTCGGATGAGAAATGAAACAACGCAAAATCCTGTTTGAAGTCTAATAGCCCCTTTGCCCAAAAATGCGTCATGATATATCTAATTAAAAATATTAAATATTTTTTTATAAAATTACGCTATATACTTTTCTCTCTTTGCAAACGTAGGGAAGATATATAACGTTCTCACGTTTGTCTAAATGTATAGTTATCTAGTATCATATAAAATACATCGCTATTTTGCCTGTGCCATGTCTATGGATAATGTGTACTGATAAACTATATTAAAGGATAAAACAGCCTTTTCGGGCGAACGTTAAAATTTGAACCTTCTCAATTTTGTTTCTTTTCCGTTTTTTTTTTCCCTTCTTTCTTTCTCTGACTTTTTTAACAGAAAAAAATACAATAATTAAAAATCAGAAAACATTTGAAATGATAAAATATAGAAATTCATTAAAAACTACGTAAATTGATTAATAGTGAAATACAATTAACACCAATACATTTATTTGACTTTCAAAGGTCTCGCGATCTGAATAGTTACAGTTCTAAATACTCGTATTTCGAATTACAGTTTACTCTACCAAATATACAACAGGTTTAAGCTAAATTTTCTGTTATTAGTTCCACCATTGCCTATAAACTAAACTAAAGCTCTAGCCTTCTTTTTTGGGAGGGGAGGGAAGTAAATATTTTAATGACAATAAGCATCTAAATTTCTCTGGTGTGTACTTTCCCCACACCTCTCTTCTGTACCTAAAAACAAGTCCATTAATTCTTTTGATATAATTTAGTTTTGCCCGATCAAGATCCGTACCTTTAAGATTTAAAATTCCTTCTCAGCAACAAAACTGTTTATTGAAGGACACTTTAAAATTTTACTTGCATGAGTAAGTGAAGTAATTTATAACTTAACGAAAGTCACGAAAGAATATAGCAATGCTCTTGTAATAGTAGTGTAATGCTCTTGAGTAAAGGAGTTTGAAGTGAATTTTGATACCATTCTGTAAATTCGAAATTAATTTGCGGAAATTAGGTAATTTTTGGAAGCAAAAGAGATGAAAAATTAGCAA